GTGATCAGCAGGACGCGCGGTGAGCCCAGCGTCCTCCTACGCCATCTTCCCTCTCCTCCCTTCTGTCTTCTAAAAAAAAATGTATTTTTTTTAATTTTAGAGAGTGTGTGTGAGTGGGGGGAGAGGGGCAGAAGGAAAGAGAGAGTGAATCCCAAGCAGGCTCCATGCTCAGCACGGAGCCCAAAGTGGGGCTTGACCCACAACCCTGAGATCAGGACCTGAGCTGAAATCAAGAGTCGGACACTCAACTGACTAACCCACCCAGGCGCCCCTATTTTCTTCTTATTTTTTTCTTATTTTATTTATTTCCTTATTTATTTTAGTTTTCTGTCTTCTAAAATGGGGTCTGCAGGTAGCACGGTTTTATTGGCACACAGCCACCCCCATTGGTTTATACATCATCTGCAGCTGCTTTCACCATTTTTTTTTCAGAGTCCAGCACTTGCGACAGAAATGTCTTGGTCTGTCCTGCGAGGTAGAAAATATTTACTCTCTGGCCCTTTCTAGGAAGAGTTTGCCAAGCCCTGGTCCAAAATATATAATTATTGATTTATTAGCTTTCCATTTTCTTCCACATCCTTTGTCAGATCTCAAAGGGATCGGGTAAGAAATTCAGCCCGAGACCCTGGACCTGACACTTGTACTCCATTCTCCCAGGAGCCTGGTAAGGGTGGGTGTTATGGTTCCATAAAACAAGTGTAGAAACCAGAGACCGAGAGGCAGAGAGAATCAGCATCTTGCTTTCAAGTACCTGCTTTTAAACATTGTCAAACTCATCCATAGAAATCAGCATTCTGCTCCATATCAACGAGGGTGTAGAGATCCTTTTGGTGAAAATAGGTCAAAGGTAAATGGCATGTCTGATTCTTGTGGATTTTTGTGTGTGTGCCTCAAAGTTCACTCGTGTTTCTTACCCCCTAGATTACTGAGAAAATTGCAGCCTGCAAACCCGTGGCCACCGCTTTAGACTCTGCTGTTGACGTCTTTCTGTGCAGCTACATTATTGACCCCATGGTAAGAATGGTGAAATTTCATCTTTCAAAATAAGGAAACACAGTAAACTCATCAATCTTCATTTTTTGTTTGCAGATTGTAGTACACCCTATGATATAAAATACTTCTGTGCTTGGGTCTGTTAACAGCCGTAGAATCCAAGACCTGAAATCTAAAATTGAGATGAATGTGTTAGGATACTTCAGGGCGGCTGGGTGGCTCAGTTGATTAAGCACCCGACTCTTGATTTTGGCTCAGGTCATGATCTCATGGTTCGTGGCATTGAGCCCCGTGTCGGGCTCTGTGCTTACAGCATGGAGCCTGCTTGAGATTCTCTCTCTCCCTCTCTTTCTGCCTCTCCCCCGACTCTCAAAATAAATAAACTTAAAAACAACAACAACAACAAAAAGGCCTGTCCCCTGCAACACCGTCAACCCCCTGAGCAGAGGGCCTGTGCGTTGCTGTGTCCCTGTCATCTGGCATATTGCCTGGCACAGGCAGTTGAATGAATGAAAGATGATCAAACAGCTGTCTGTCCAAGTGCATCTGTACTGCTCCATCTGTCATCTCCCTGTCCCACATCCACATGCCCATCTATCTGCTGGATGGACTTTCACACCTGAATGGAGACGCTCCTGTCCTCTTCTGGCCATGCAGACCCCAAGGTTTGGCTTCCTGGCCGCTTCCCTCCTCCCCAGACCCTAACCCCTTCGTCCTGCTTCTTGGACCCCTGCTGATGGCTTTGTAGGTGTGTCCTGGACTAACCTGGTTGATTCTTTTTTTTTTTTTTTAATGTTTATTTGTTTTTGAGAGACAGAGAGACTGACAGACGGACAGAGCATGAGGTGGGGAGGGGCAGAGAGAGAGGGAGACACAGAATCTGAAGCAGGCTCCAGGCTCTGAGCTGTCAGCACAGAACCCGACGTGGGGCTCAAACTCATGAACCACGAGAATGTGACCTGAGCTGAAGTCGGACGTGGAACCGACTGAGCCCACACAGGTGCCCCTAACCTGGTGGATTCTGAATTGATCTCCTTGCCTTTGGTCTTCACAGCCTGCCCCCAGCCAGTCAAATCACCCAACTATTGATGCTTTTCCCCCAGTAATTGAGGACCAGTGGAAGGGAGGCCTAGAGGCTGGAGCTTTGTAGCGAGGTGGTTTAAATAGTAAGAAAGAGCTCTGGGCATTGATTTTGCCAGGAAAGTGGACCCCAGGCTGCCCAACATGTTTCTTTTATACCTTGATTGTTCCCGAAAGAATTATGGCAGCTTCCAGTAAAAGGATTGGTTGTCATAAAGCTCTAAAGCCTCTCAAAGCGAGGTTTGAATGCACAGAAATCTACCAATAAAAGAACACGTGGGGAAAGGAGAACAAATTTACTGGAAATTCTGGGCCAAGAGGTGCCACTGCCATCCGACAGTGCGCTCTGTCCGGAGGAAGGCAGAACGTCAGTGGCTGAGCTGTGAGGGTTGGAGGGCAGCGGAGGAGGGCCGCTGTCACATCCAAGCTGCCTTTTGCCTCCCGGTAGGCTGGGGAGGCTGTCCTGATGTTACCTACAACGTCACCCTAAGGCAGCGGCCATAGACCCGAACCTCTACAGGCCAAGCGTAAGACACTGGCTGGCGTATGGTGTCGTCGGGGTCTCCAGCTGCGTCTCTTCTGATTGGTGGATAAGGCTAAATAGCGTTGGGCGTCACCCCTGCAAAAGCTAGTGGTGTGGCCAGGCCCCAACCAAACGCGGACCTTCTTGATGGAAGAACCACCACCCAGCGGCCGCTGGTGTTGCCTTGTGGGGATGGGGGCTCAGTCTGTGAGACTGAACTTGAAGACTTTTCAAGAAAGACGTGACTCCAGATTTCTGTGTGAAGCCTGACTTAGGAATGTTGGCAACTATCTTTTGAAAATACCTTCGCATGCTTTTTAAACAAAATAGGGTTGAATGCAGCCTATGATCTGCCCTTAAGCTTGGTTAAGTCAAATGTGGAATGTTTGTTGAGAGCCTAGTAGGTGCTGAGCGCCGGTCCTGCCTTCTCCACACAATAGTGTTATGGGATAAAGATGCTACGGTCCCGCGGTTCTGATGCAGAGCAAAGCCAGAAGGGTGAATTAGCCGCGTCAAACAACTCAGAAAAGGGATTAAGCTCAGGCCTGCTGGTCCGCCATGCTCCTATCGTAGGCAGCAAAGGGACGCCATCTGGTGGGGTCCTAGATGCAAACCCTTGCTTCCCCACTTGCTCCCACTGGTCCTCATTTGTAAAATAAATATTATAGGATCGAGTCAAGGTTTTCGGAGAGATTTAATGAATTGCAGCAACGTGTAGCCTTTCACACAGTAGATGACTCCCGTGGCATTTACAAATGGTTTCAATGGACAAAATTAAACCTCATTAAACAATGGCAGAAAAAAGAAAAAAGCAACTGCTGCTTTCCACTTTCCCGTCTTGAGGCCTCTGATCCTCCTGATTTTCTTTTTTTCCCTAGAATTTATTTTGGTTCGGCATAGGAAAAGCCACCGTATTTCTACTTCCGGCTCTCATTTTTGCTGTAAAGCTGGCCAAGTACTATCGTCGAATGGATTCAGAGGATGTGTACGAGGAGTAAGTAGACAAGTTTCTACAGAGGCTGGGGGAGGGGGGTCATTTTCTAAGAGGCACTGACTTCAGAACGAGCTCTGATGAGATTAAACTTGGTCTTTTTTTAAAGTAGGGGGTCACTCTGGTCAGGTGTCTTCTTTGTACCTTTCTTATGCTTGTTTTAACTGTTCTCCCTCTTGCTTCATCTTCTCAGTGTCCTTAACCAGCCTTCTTATTTCTTGTTTGCAGATCCTCTGTCTTGGGGATTTGGCACTTTACTTTATAGCTGTGTTTACTAGTTTTCACTTTGACTCTGTAGTATATACCTTTATGCTTCATGTTTTATGCCACTCACCTCCTTCGTGATGTGTGTCTCTCCTGAATTTACTTGGGTAATGTCTGTATTAGGGTAAAAACAAATGTGGGGGATCCAGCTGTCGAGCTGTGATCGTAATTAAAAACAATAATTGTATCTCCCTTTTTAGTATTTTATAGTGCTGAAACTGTATCCGTCAAAAAGTAAGCCTTTTCTTTTTTTTAAAACCATATTCCTAAGATGGGACTGGGAGGTCTTTATTATTATGTGATGGACTTTTAAAACGGAATTAATAGCATCTTAAAATTACATGACAATGTTAGATATGCCCAGATAAAAATCTGTGCTGATGCCTCTACAACAGGGCCAGCACACACAAGGCACTGAAGGAATACTTGTTAAATTAATGATATTTTTATAGGTTAAGTTTATTAATATATAAAATGGCTGTTTCAGTGTTTGGTTTTTAAAGGGAGCAGAATGTGAATATAGCTTTTTTACTCTCTTTGTAGATTTAACAAATGCTCACGTGCTTTTCATGACCCCTTGCATTGCCTTTGTAGCTCGCAATGTTAATACTTCATCTTAGAGATAACATGGTGTTTTTGGTGTATTTATTTTTGTTTCAGTATGGAAAATGGTAATATTGGTTTTCATAGACATCATTCCACTCAGACTGTATGAACAAAGTTTTTAAACAGAGCCAACGGCACGAGTTCTTGATCTACAGCGTCTCTGAATACTGGAAAAGAAACCTTCCCTTCCAGAGTTTACAGAGTTTAGTGATTTTTGTATGCAACACTCACTGATGCGCCAAAGAGTAAAAAGTGTGCATTCACAGCTGTTTTGGTTTTTGTTTTGTTTTCTCTGCAGAAGTTTTGCTTTAATCATCTGAGCCTTCTATGAAAGTTCCAATATGTATTACATTCATTCATTTCCAGTTTAGTTTTCAGAACAAGGCATGAATTGTGTCACATTTCATTGCTTGGGAACCTAGACTTGTAGCTAGGCAAAATCCAGCAAATAGCAGTTGTGTGTGTGAACAATAAAAGTGATTTCAGAAATCTGACTCTAATCTTCTTATTGAAACACATACCTATATTATAGACATCGATTATGTCACTGTGTCATTTGCTCAAGGCTGCTGTAACAAGTTACACAAGGTGGGTGGCTCAAAGCAGAAGTATCTTCTCCCACAGTTCTGGAGGCCGGAAGTCTGAAATGCATTCATCAGCACAGCTGGTTCCTCCAAGGGGGATCGCACAAGAGTCTGCTCTATGCCTTTTTCCTAGATTCTGATGATTGAGACGATCCACGGCATTCCTTGGACACTCACTCCAGTCTCTGTCTCTGTCTTCCCATGGAGTCTTCCTTGGGTGCCTGTGTCCAGATTTCCCTCTGCTTCTAAGGAGTCATTGGATCAGGGCCCATCCTAATCAAGAATGATCTCATCTTAATTTCATCACATCTGCAAACAACCTATTGGCAAACATTTGCAGGTTCTAGGTGATATGAATTTGGGAGGGAACACCATTCAGACCAGCACAGTCATCCAGCAATGATAGCAAATAGCCAAAAAGATAGGGAAGGAAACTCAAAGGAGAGCAACACTATACACCCTCTACACACAGAAACTAAGTTAAATTACCAAAATCACAAAAGATAGAAAAATTATAAATTTTGTTAGACACATACAAAATAGTGACTCATCTCCCTCTTAATTTTATGTTCATCTCTTTATTGAAGAACATGTTAATACTCCACTGCTTGTGAGCAGAAAGTGTCTCTTCATCTAACACCATGATGCCTGGCCCCTGCTACACAATGGATTCATGTGGCTGATGCTGAGGACCTACCCTGAGAGATTTGGATATAGTGGCCTGAACATGTGGATGCTTAAATTTCCTCAGATGATTCTAATAGACGGCCAAGGCTGAGAAACACTTCCCTGGATTAACAGACCACTTTCTGGGCTACACCCCATGCAGTTCTCGTGCAGCCTGGCTTCAGAACTACAAATACAGTTCCATGTGCATTTCATGCAATTAATAGGTAACTACTTATCATCTGCTATGTCCCAAGCAAGTTCAAGATGCTGATGGAAGAGAGGTGAGCTAACAGATTGGCCCAACCTCCCAGAAGCTCAATGTCAGTGTTGGAACCAAGACAACACACTCTCTGTGTGAGAGACACAGAAGCCTGGGTGGTGGTGGGGATCAAGGGAGGTTTGCTGCCATTGAGTTTCTAAAATTGTATGAATTGGAGAAAGAAGATGGCAGCGTAGGAGGACACTGGGCTCACTGCGTCCTGTGGATCACTTAGATTCCACCCACACGTGCCTAAATAACCCAGAAAACCACCAGAAGACTAGCAGAACGGACTCTCTGGAGCCAAGCGTAGACAAGAGGCCCACAGAAGAGGGTAGGAAGGGTGGAGAGGCAGTGCGTGCTACACGGACTGGCGGGAGGGAGCCGGGGCAGTGGAGGGGCAGCCCGCCCGCAAGGTGGAATCCCTGAGCCTGGCTTGCAAAAGCGGAGGGGCCAGACTCCATGAGTTATGACAGCCAGTGGGACTTAACATCTGGAATGTTATAAGTCAACAGCTCTGCTCAGAGAGCGGGAGGGCGAGAGGACACCGGAAGGGAAGTTTGTTGAGCCCTGGAAGACAGAGCTGGCCAGCGCCATCTCCCTCTCCCATCCCCCAGCCGAAATCCCAAAGGGAACCAGTTCCCATCACTGAACTTGCTTGCACCGCGCAAACACCCAACACTGTGCTTCTGTGGATCCAACCTTCTGATGAGTCAGCCTCCCTCCCGGTGCTGCAGGGCCCCTCCCGTAGGGGACCGCAGATGGCAAAGTGAGCTGAGCCTGCCCCTCCCGCCCCTGTGCACCTTGCAGATCCACCCTAGCTAATACGCCATTGGCCAGATCCCATCGAAGCAGCACCACAAGCCTGGCAGTGTGCAAGCAGCCCAGACAGGGGCCACACCACTTCACAGCGAGTCCTGCCACTGGGAGAGGGGAAGATAAGGTACATACCAGTCTGACTGTGGCCCCAGCGGTGGGCTGGGGACAGACATCAGGTCTGACTACGGCCCCGCCCACCAACACAAATTACTCCAGACAGCACAGGGGAAGTGCCCTGCAGTTCCACCCCAGAGACTACCCAAAATGACGAAACAGAACTCTCCTCAAAAGAAACTCCAGGAAGTAGTGACAGCTAACAAATTGATCAAAAACGATTTAAGCAATATAACAGAACAAGAATTTAGAATAATAGTCATAAAACTAATCACTGGGCTTGAAAAAAGTATAGAGGACAGCACAGAATCTATTGCTACAGAGATCAAGGACTAAGAAATAGTCATGAGGAGCTAAAAATGCTATAAATGAGGTGCAAAATAAAACGGAGGCGACCACAGCTCGGATTGAAGAGGCAGAGGAGAGAATAGGTGCATTAGAAGATAAAATTATGGAAAAAGAGGAAGCTGAGAAAAAGAGAGATAAAAAAATCCAGGAGTATGAGGAGAGAATTAGAGAACTAAGTGATGCGATGAAACGGAACAATATCCGTAAAATAGGAAGAGGAAGAGAGAAAGGGGCTGAAGGTGTACTTGAAGAAATCATAGCTGAGAACTTCCCAGATCTGGGGAAGGAAATAGGCATTGAAATCCAAGAGGCACAGAGAACTCCCTTCAGACGTAACTTGAAGCAATCTTCTGCATGACATATCATGGTGAAACTGGCAAAATACAAGGATAAAGAGAAAATTCTGAAACCAGCTAGGGATAAACATGCTCTAACATATAAAGGGAGATCGATAAGTCTAGTGGCAGACCTATATACTGAAACTTGGCAGGCCAGAAAGGAATGGCAGGAAATCTTCAATGTGATGAACAGAAAAAATATGCAGCTGAGAA